TCTTTCTTCTACTCGTGATCACAGGTTCGTTGTGAGTTCGTGCAAGGCTTCCGCAAAGGCGCGCGTCAATACATACATGAATTCATAAACACAACAAAAAGAAAATGTCACAAAAACCAATCTGATGATCTAAATTCTGATTCTAAACTCCCAAATACACCAATTCTCAATATTGGAATCTGACTCAGGATACAATTTGGCATTCAGGAGCTCAAGCTAGTTTGTCTGAGATGCTGCTAGTTTAATATTCATCAACTGTAGACTCGCCTTTAAAACTTGCATCTTTTTCTCTCGGTTCGTAACCTAGATAATCAATTTCATCTTTAAAATTCGGGGTTGTCGATACAATCCGAAGCAAAGAGCCTTTGATGCTCTACTCATCTTCAGGTACCATCTCAAATAATTGGCTTCTCAACGCAGCCACAAGCTCATCCGCTACTTCAATTTTTTCCTTTAGATACACTTCAGCTTTTATTTGATTCTCGAAAAAGTTGCCATTTATCCAATACCCATCTCCTTCCCTCATTGCAATCCCATGCTTAGAAGCCATCTCCAATACCTCGGCTTCATGACGAAGGCCCCTGCCAAATTCGATATCCAAATCAGCTGTCTTCATTGATCGTGACAATTTATTTTTCATGACTTGCACTGAGATGCCAACGCCAGTGATCTGGAATGTGTAATAATTAGATAATTTAAATATAAGCAATGCTGAAAGATGGCAAGTACATATAGAAAATATATCAGAAAGAATGTGAATGAAATTCATTTGACAAAATTTGTAGCTATATTAAGAAATCTGAATTAAACTATTATATTATTATTAGTCATGTCGGGGGTTATGTTCAAGATCAGATGACAGACAAATCTGATATCATAAAAGGATGGAATGCCCATAAGTCATTATCATAGGATGGAATGCCCATAAGTCTGGAAAACTTTCCCCCCTAAAAGGACGAAATCCACCATATTCATTCAAAAATAATTCACCGAATATTGTCTATTCAAATCATAAATCCAGTAAAATGAGTCGGTAGTACAACATTGTGCTCAAAGGTCAAAATGTAGTTGCTGTGAAATACTATGATAATGTAGACATGCTCACAAAGTGCAGAATAAAGGAATAATCAGAAATCTAGAGATGACCACATGGCCATATATGATGCTGTAGCATTTGAAACTAGGCTGATGGTTGATTTTGATTAAATATAACACTTGATGTTATAGTAGAGGTTCCTCGAGTACTTACGAATTAAATTATAGAAGAAAATAGAAATCACTGTGGTGAGAGGGGAAACAAAAAAATGCACAAACTATGAAACAATTTACTGCGAACCTTATCTTCAGTGTGTAGCAAATTTCTTCTTGTAATTCTCATTCGAATAGCAGAGTAGAATTTCAGGGCATTACCACCACAAGTCACCTCGTTTCTCTGACTTGTATCTACAGCAGATCTTGTCCTGATCTGCACAAAAAGAAATGTTTTTTGACAGTGAAAAGTATCGAAATTGGATAAAAATAAAATGGAAATTGGAAACAATAAGATTTATATCATACACAATTAAACTTTTACGCACGGAACAGCAACTACAGTAAAGTGGAAGATAGCAAGACAACAGCAGCTTGGTTCTTATCCAACAACAGAATAATGAAAAGTTCTTAACCCAAAACTGAAATATGTCGAACACTGACCATCAAAAAATTGACATAGAATAAGCAGAAACAGGAATCACCTGATTAACAAAAATTACAAGAGTTTGGGACCGACTTAGAGAGAGATGAATTTTTCGAAGGGCTTGGTTCATTAATCTTGATTGTGCATCATGAGAGTAGATGTCTATCAAGCCATCAAGTTCACATTGAGGGACGAGAGCGGCTACCTGCCGCATACACAGAAATCACCATATAAATATAAGATATTCAATAAGCAATATAATAAATTGCATAAATTCATGAAGTCTGCCATGAAGGGAAGTTATGTGCATCATACTGATAATTTTACACATTGATATCAGTTTCAGTTGACACTTTGACATGCTACAAGCAAAATGGTTTATGATGTAGTAAGGATACGGACCAAAGATCTGGTTGCCGACATATTTAAGCACATGGAAGCAACAAAGCCATGAACTTCCGAATAATCCTGTGAAAGTGCCCCATACCAATGCCACTCCAACCTTTTAGAGCTTAGGTTTAAACCAAAGGAGCCTGTGACTTGATAAACTCTAAAACTTAAAGCACAAAAGAAACTATTGAATTCCAAGCAATAACTGCAGCTGAAATTGGAACATTGAGATTGATGAATTGCAATGTGCAATTAATAGGATAGAAACGAGTATGCCGGTAGATCCAGTTGAGGACAAGATGGTGAATATTTCAGATGGTTTGACCATGTGGAATAGAGATGAGATGACTGCAGCCATTAATAGCTGCTATCAAGTCATTGATATTAGTGATGGAACTACGTTGACTAGGGACTAAACTAGATGAACATGGATTAAGACAATAAAAAAATGGTATTTTGATAAATTTCAAAAAGGAATGAGTCAGCAAAGATGAAAGGAGCAAAGAGAAACATGTCTTCCGATGAAGTTGTCCATTGCAATTGATGAACAACTATTTTATCATATGAAACTTCCGATTTCATCCAAACATGACTGAAGCTTAATAAACCTACCTGAATGAAACCTTCTGAAACCAATATTTGGTGGTTGTTTCACACCCCCCCCAAAAAAAAAGAAAAAAAGAAAAAAAGAACAAACAAAAAACAAAACAAAACAGAAGGGGGGGAAAAGGAAAAAAGAAAATTGGCCAGAACTCCTTGCTTTCCATGTTCTTCAAACCAATATTCAGTAGTTCACAAGTACTGTAGTATTATCATTTTGATAGCATATACGATCAAAATAACCAAGAAAAATCAAGTTTGTCAACTAAAATATCAGTCTTGCCAAAAGAGACATAGAAGATCTATAAGTTGACTTTAAAAAAGTAAATAGCATGTACATACACTATCCACAATGATAACATCTACTGATCCACTATTAACCAAAGTGTCCAGAATGCTCAGAGAGTTTTCAGCACTGTTAGGATGCACAACAAGAAGATCTTTTGTGTTGATACCCATGCCATCCGCAAATGAGCCATTCAGAGCATTCTCAACGTCTAGATATGCACAACATCCTGGAAACAAAATAAGAGTCACGCTTCTGCAGAGAAAACTACAAGGAAATGTCAGGGTATGATATTGACATTGTTACAAGACAAATTACATCATACCCGCTTATTCATGGTTCACAAACTCTCCCAATGGATCCTATCAAAATATGCCTGTTTAAAATTGATAGAACTTAAAACCATATGTAAATCCCTCTTCAGTTTAAGCCACTCCATTAATTGTCTTATTGAGCATATAGTTCAAAGTCTCTCCTCACACTGAACAAGCGTCATGATAGACATTGGCAAAAATGTGAGCCTGCAGTAAGCAGAACATTCCATATTGTTTGCATGTCTTTAAGATCCGTCATATGACTCATGTACACCACTAAGTCCAATCTAAATAAATTACAGTAATATAAAACACGGGCATGAACTGCTGAGCAAAAGGAATGCTGTCTACACTATGACTAGTAACTCCTTGAGATCAAATGAAACTGAAACAAAAGTTCATCTCCATTTTATCTATTAACTTGTTTCAATATAAAAGATTGAGGCTCTGTTCACAAAAAATATTTCGAACAAAGACTAATTTGATTCAGTAATAGTAAAGTAAATAATAAAATAAAAATGTTCTCCCTATTAAATAGCATAAATATGCAAATTATTATTCCCTCGATCCATGTTGCCAGTTCTACCTAGTACCAATTTCTTCTTCAAGTACAATCCTATAAACTCCAATAAAGCACATGATTGATCTCCGATGCACAATCCCAAGCTTCAAATCCTTGAATTATAGAAGTTTACGAGATGAATGAGTAGAAATCTGATAAGTTTCTGCAAATCGGTCAGAGTATGCACATGTGTGCACAAACACACACACACACACATGCACATGTACGGAAAAACTGAAACAAATAAAACAACTAAAAGGAAGCAAAAACATTTACTTGATGATCTTCAGACGGTATAAACTCCAAGATTTCAAATCCTTGAATATAAATTAATGAGATGCATGATTAGAAAGCTGATAGTGATGGAGACAGCTTATTAGTTTGTTAGGATAAAAAGAATTTAACGACCTCCAAGCTTTTGAGCCTCCTTCACAATGTGGAGGGCAAGTGTTGTTTTGCCAGAAGCTTCTCTCCCATAAATTTCAACAATTCTACCCTGCACTACAAATTAAACTTCATAAATTAAAAACTAAAGCTAATTTCTTAATTCAAAGATCATGTTCATATCACAATATATTGTTTCATAATTTTATGCAAGAAAACATGGTAGATTTTTCAAAGCCACTAAACGTAGTCCAGGCAAACCTATCTAGAATTTTAATATCCGACAAAATTTGTACAAAAATACCAGCCATAGTAAAAAAAAAATCAAAAAGGCCCCTTGCCCTGCTGGAGAAAAGTGCATTCAAAGTCACCAGTGTGCCAAAAATCGACCTTTTACATACATCCAGGGCTGTCATTCCTAAATGTATTCTGTACAAGTTATGGGCTGAGTGATACAAAGTGACTCATGGTTGAAAAATACATGGCCAATAGTCTGCAGTTATCCAGGACAGGTTTATTAGTGTAAATAGAATTCAAGATCAGCAATTCCCAGTTATGATTGGCTAAAGAAAATTTATGGTGGGATTTGGACATTCAAATCACTTGGGAAAGTGATGCTACAAGCATGGATGACCATTATTTATTGGTTTGGACCACCACATCAGCATGTCTAGCGCTGTGGATAGTTTTTCTGGTAAATGTATCAGAGTGGCTGACTTTCATAGGCAAACATGCACCGTCACCCCCACCCCCAAAAAAAACCACAAACGAACCCAAAAAACACTTGCACATAACACATACACACAACCACATACCCCTTTTGCAACAGTTACTTGGCAAAGAAAACAACAGCAATATTACAGCAAAACTCATAATAATGGATCACAAATAAGGAAAAAAACATACAAAAAAAATGACAAGTTGCACGAGGAAGGCTATCAAAGGAACAAGTGAAATAACCATGAACTGCAGAATAAGGAATAGAGACCAATCTGAAACCGGACAGCTTCAACAAAGAGATAAGCATGTAGATAGGAGATGCAATTTTATGCTAAGATGTATTGAATATGAAGTGCAATTGTATGTTTTAGCAGGTCAAAATAAGATTGTACCAAAGATAACTTGGTCAAGACAAAATCTTTCGTGGGCCTCATTAGCAATACTGACTTATTAGACTAGGTTTAGGAAAAAAACCTCTGCTCGATAGAAGTACTTTTATTTTAATCATACAAAGATAAATCATCAAATACACCTGAAGCAGGGGCGAAGCCAATGCAGAATACTTTTAACAGTACTAATTTGCAAAGTTCTTCAAATCAATCATAGATAATCTAGCAAAATGGCCAAGAGTATACAGAATTCTGAGCATGTTTACTTGATATTCATTATTAGCTAAAGATGCATGTTTTACTATATATGATCAAGATCGGGTCCTTGCATGAGAAAGTCAGGCAGAACAACTTCTCTTGAAATAGAAAGCAAAAGATGACATAGTTATATTTCTTTTCATTGTAGCACATGAAGAAATTTAGATGATAAGTATCGAATAAAACTTATTTGAGCTCATGAAGAAAAATTTCAAACTATAATTACCTTTGGCAGCCCTCCAATGCCAAGAGCAAGATCGAGCTTCAGAGAACCTGTTGAGATCACTGGTGTGTACCTTGTACGAGAAAACCTATGCAAAGATAAGCGAGATTCTCTATCAAAATCACCTGCAAGCTGAGAAAGAGCAAGACGAAGTGTCTCCTCTTTCTCTATCACCTTTTCATCATCATAAAGTTGATCCCTTTCATATTCCAAGAGTGTTTCAGCTGCACATAGAAAATTCATCATCGTAAATATATAAATAGTTGATAACAGTTTACTTTAGAAATTAGATATTGAGAACTGCAAGTGTATGGATCCCAAGGGCATTATAAAACTATGTACTCTCAGTTTTTAGATACCTACAAAGTGGTTTCATGAAATAACCAGATATTGCAATATAGATATTACAAGTAGGTCGTGTGTAAAGTTATCATCTTGTGAATATGCATAAGAGTTTATCAGCTCAAGCGAATGCTGGTGAAGGCAATGAAGAAAGATACAAATTTCAGCAATTTCCTCAAATTAACATTTGATTAGAAAGTGCATTACATCTTACAGTTGTTTAATTTACAATTACATAGTTTAATGCAGCAAACTGCAAGCATACTACAAAATATTTCACTAAAACTAGTAAAATTATGGTATAACTTGTGGGAGCCAGTAATTTTCTGATTACTTTTCTGGTTTTAATTAGTTCAAAGTGATTTGCAAGTACACGATTGCCAATTAAATACATTAGTTGGTGAAGTGTGGGAATTTTGACTAATAGGGTTACTTCTTCCTTTTCTTTCTTACAAATACAACATCAAAAACTCCAAGAACAAGTGGACATCTGCACAAAATTATGTTGGCGTTAAGGCCAACTACTCACCTTTTTCCGAAACAAAAGAAGAAATAAAAACATAATAAATGCCTCCTACCAATTCCTCAAATTCAAACATAGTTGATTCCTCCAAGGTTTCCAACATTTATTCCTCGGTTAAAATTTCTTCAATGCCACCTAGAGCTAACTGGATGTCAACTTGTATGGCGAATTGAGTAGCTAGAGAGCTTCAAAATACAAAAATCGGGATCTTTCGCAGGTGTTTACAGATTTTAGAGTGCTTCGACCTAACAATGCGATCAAAATCTAAACTTTATCACGTGAATGAAGTAATAACGTACTAATGCTCAACCAAAAACTGAAAAATCAAAGCATAATCGGTCATCTCACCCACTTCTGGTGATGCTGCTGCTGACGATGATAGAGATCTCCTCTTACTCCCAAACGATCGAATTCGATCGCCTCTTTCTACTCTCTAAATGAATAAAAGTTGCAAAAGGGGGGGGAAATTTTAAGGAGAAATATATAAAAATTGAAAGCCAATCGTCGAGAAAAATGGAATCGATGCTGCGAGAATGAACCTGAATGAAGAGCGACGGCTTTACGGCGAGAGAATTGGATCGAAAATTGCGAAGAATTAAAGACGATAAGGGTTTTAGGGCTCCTCGCATTGTTTCAGTTCTCGCGCTCTCGGTGAGGGTTCGGGGCCTGGTTTTTTTGCGTATATACCCTCGTGTTGAAAAGCGTTTTTTATTTCGCATATGCCCTCGGAATCTTACGTATTTTTATAATCACCCTCCAAGTCAAAATAATTGTTAATCTGCTTTCTAAATTATGTAATGGCTTCCTCACATGAAGAGCACAAGCAAAAGGAGATCACAATTTTTTTTTTTTAATATGATTTGGCCAAACATGCTCACGTCCACGGTCCCTCAACAAGAACCCCCACAAGTTTAACTTGCTTGTCATGTATAAATACTCACTTATTATCAGTACAAATTTAAGAGTAAGAAATTTTCTAAATAAACTCATTCATATTTTTTTTTCTAATAGTAGACCTCTTTGAGTTTTATTTACAAAAATAGACCTATTTTATCTTAATCTGGTTCCTAAATTAAACTCCCAATTATAACCCTAAACCCTAACATTCTATGCACTAAATAGTTGGGGTTGGCAACCCCGACTATTTAGGAACCGGATTAAGACAAAATGAGTCTATTTTTGTAAATAAAACTTAAGAGGGTTTATTTTTAGAAAAAAAATTATGAATGAGTTTGTTTAGAATATTTCTTCAATTTAAGAGCAATGGTTGGGGCTTGGGGCTGTGTTCTCAAAAAAAAAAAAACTAAGAGTCGGCCAGTGTTTATGACAAATCTACCCCAAACTTCTAATTATTAGGATAAACAAGTTTAGGAGCAAGTAATAATCTTCTTGTTAAGAGCTATAATAATATGATAACATCGGTAAATTGAAATTTCATAATTCAACAAAATTGGCATCAACAAATGAATAATAAGGAATCAGGCTACAATGAGGTACTCGGTTTCTTTTTCTCCTTTTGATCGATTTATGTTTGTATTATTTTCCAAAGAGATTTATTTTCCGTAGAATTTAATGTTTGTGTAAGTAATTGTGGAATCGTTAATATATTGACTTATTTTGCTTTCAGGTAATTGTAAAACTGGATTCGCTTGCTTTCAGGTGTCTACGAAAGTGAAATGCATAAAGAAATCCATTAATTCAAT